ATTTTTACGAGGATCAATAAAAGTCATCGGTTTAATTAATTTTTGTTGTAATTTAATTAATAATTGTTTATAACAAATTACGGATGGTCTATTTGTTTCTATAATCACAATTTCACAAATCATAGATTTGTAAAAGTAAGTTCAAGTGTCTAATAATAAAGAACTACTTTGATTTTAGTGGGCTAAACTTTATTCCATTTGTCTGGTCATAACACAATCTCCGTCACAAATTGAGAAATCTTGGTTAATAAATTAGAAGATTCAATAAAACCCGATTGTTATCACATTTAGTTTAGTTTAATTAACAACTACAACGAACAGTAACTATATCAGAATGTTGATTTTTAATAATTTTTACATTTTTTGCACTGTCAGACGAATGATAACAAATTCAGGGGACAAACTTCGCGAAGATATTTTATAAATAATATATAGAGAAACGTCATAATTAGTTCCATATTTGTAATCTACAACAATTAAAAATTAATAATTCAGTATGAATTTTCCGCAAAACATTTGAAAAGTGATATTTATTCTCAATATGAACTGTCATTCTCCCAAAGGGACATGCCAGACAAATGAGAATTTAGCACTATAATGTGTATTTTTTGCAAAAAATATTTTTTTTCATCGGTTTTTTTTCTGTGCCATAATAGAAACCATTAAGATTTACAATTTTCATTAAAAGTAAAATTATTCTTTCCAAAATTAATATACAAAATATGCTTCAAACATCAAAATTCCCTATTTTGTAGAATCACCCATATATTTGGTTACCTGCGTTGAGGTCAAGCGAAGAAAACATCAACATATATTGATGTCGACAATTATCGTATTAAAGAGAATTTTAAAGCACTACAAAAGTGAGATACAAAAGAGATACCCTGATTATTATTCTGATTATCAAAGTAATGGTTTGGTGAGTACAAAAGAGATACCCTGATTATTATTCTGATTATCAAAGTAATGGTTTTTATGTACACTGCACCTGCCACTGCACTAGTAAACATCACAAACAACATTAGAAATAATATAAACATTTTAATGGCTAAAGAACGTGACTAAAGAATTTCAACGGACCGATAAGTTTTTATTTAAAAATTCGTCGGCCATGTTGGATCCGCCGTTTTGAATTTTGAAAATTGGACATTAGATTCGTAATTAGCGACCCAAAAAACCCTCGAGTACCAAGTTTTAAGCGAATCTAATCAGTTTTTAAAAATTTAGCCGCCATATTGGATCCGCCATTTTGAATTTTGAAAATTGGACTTCACATTCATAATCAGCAACCCCAAAAACCCCTGCATAATAAGTTTCAAGCGAATCTAATAAGTTTTTAGAAAAATTGTCCTCCATATTGGATTCGCCATTTTGAATTTTGAAAATTAGACATTATATTTGTGATCAGCGACCCCTAATACCCCCGAGTAACAAGTTTCAAGCTAATCTAAACATTTTTAACAATTTTGTACTTTCGAGTGAAATTTTGCAAAAAATTTTGAACTTTAAACTACATTTTTGAGCCGCCATTTTAATTTTAAATTTTCTCTACAGTTCTATCTTGTAGCTTATATATTTTTGTCACGTTATTTGTAACATTTGGAATTATTTTTCTGATATTTCGTAGTAGAAGAAAATGAAAATTAAACAAAAATTTGAAAAAAATCAGACTTCTTTTATAAAAAACATTAATAACTTTTTTGTTAATAAATTTTTGATTTATTTTATAACGCCATTCGTTAGAACTCATATGAAAACATAAGAAATGATAATTGAGGAATTTTTCTAGTGATTTTTAAGTACCGAAATAAGTCCTCAAACTTCATGCTACAATTTTGTACATTTGGGCGTTAAAGAGTTAAGGAAAATTATTTTAAAAAATCAACTTATCTTTATAATAATACATTGTTTTCGTCATTTTCTACTCATTTCGTTATTTACCTTTAATTCCGTTTTTTTAGTCGGAAGTGGAAAATCTGTAAATTCAGATACCTGGTTAAATAAACCCAGGTTATGTGGGGATGATCGCTCTTGTTCTGGTCGACCCACTAAAAACCACTCCCGTCTTAATTTGGGACACTTTGATCCACTTGCGGCACTACCGTCAGGCTTTGAACTTCGCAAGTGGTGGTCCCCTTGTCCTGCTTCTTGACTTGCCATTAATCCGCTCATGCAATGTGTGAGCAAGGACGGGAGGAAAAGCTAAATGTTTTCCTCCCCCCACGCTCACACACTCCTGAGCACTGGATTCTTCCGGTCAACCTCGTCTTCCGTCTATATCTTTTCCCCATTATTTTAATAATTAAGGATTAAATGTCTACACGAGTCCAGGTTTTGAACCATGATAGACACCATGTTATCGACGTTGATTTCAAAGCCAACTGCTGCAAACGTGTCCCTTTTATCATGAATCTCCCTATTTTCTTCGCGTCCTAGACAAAATCTTCTTTGCTTCCTCTAAGGCAGTTCTGAAGACCTTGCAGCTTCCTGACCCTGTGACGTGGTTAGTTTTCTCCTTCCCGTCGAACTTCTTTTCGCACAAGAAGCAGCATGGGCTCTTCTTACAGTCTGCTATCTTGTGGTCGGCTTCTCCGCACTTAAAGCACGCAGCTGACTTATCTACCGATTTACAATCTTTCCCTATATGGCCATAGCTAAGGCACCTATGACACCTTGTGACCATAACTCTTTTCCTCACTGGACAAGACAAAAAGCCTACCCTTATGTGGCCGAGACGTTCCAGATTCTCTGCATCTTTCTGTGTGGTTACTACAATAACGAGCTTTACCCCTCGCTTGTTAATTCACAGGACAGTTATCTTTCTTCTTCCTACTGGCATTGCCGAAACTCTATCCATCTGGACATCTGTTGGCTCTGTAAGACAATCCAGATCGCGGATCTCCAAAGTAGTTGGCCGATCCACAATCTGCACCTTACCCATGTCACCAATCACCCTAGTCACCTCATCATTGGTGAAGGTCTCCTTATCAGAAGAACCTCTAAGTTGGATAAAGAGGTCCCCCTTCTTGGTGGGTACAGCTTCCATACAAATTGTATTGCTTTTCTCTGGGTTCACCTCCTTATAAATCTTCCCCAGAACTGCTGCGAACCTCGAATCTTCAGCCACCTTAACGATCATTGATGACCTCTATTGTGGCCTTCCTTCTTTCTGTGTTTTGTCCGGCTTTTTTGGATGTCCTTCATTCTTCGTCTTCTTTGAGTTTTTATTCAACTCAAGACTGTTTCTCTTCCGCTTCTGACCTTCCAAGACGACTTTTTTTAACACTACAGCGTTTAAACGGTAGCGTCTAACTCTTCGATCTTGTCTTGATTCCTCTGACCACGCTAATTGTTGGTAGAACCTCTTATCTACTTTTTTTGCAGCTGCGTGTTTTTCCTTAATCTCCTGTATGAGCGTTGTTATACTTTTCAGTCCGTCCTTAATCGTCATATTGACGCTTTTCTGAACATCACAGGACTTCAGCATCTTACTGGCCTCTTCCTCCATTCTTTGAATGTAAGCTGCTTCCTCCTCGCGCAGCCTTATAGCTTGATCTCGGTCTTAATTGCAGCAAGCAATGTCATTAGCTGAAGCAATACTGGAGACAGAAATGCATCTGGTTTGACTTGTAACGCTGGTCGTACTTCCTTGTCTATCTACTCTTTCCAAGACAATTCTTGGTACCACCAACGCGTTGTTGCCCTCTTGCATCCTCGGGCCACTGGCCACCGTCCTCACGCCAGGCCCTTGACGATCAGAACCAGTGATGTTTGTCCCGTATTGAGAGACTATCGGACCTTAACAGGGTACTACCATTTGGCCAAAATGGACCCTGAACCGCCTCCGTTAGTTACATAGACGTTATAGCATTGCCAAAGCATTGATGCGACGTCTATGATATCCAAAGGCCCGTGACCGTTGTTCGTTCGGACGTGGAGGTCGATGTATCTCTCCAAGATAGCAGGAAGTTTTCGCGGAGGGAATGCATCCTGGTATTTCTTCACAGAGTTTACCCTCTTTAATTATGTTTAATTGGAAACTTTAAAAGAAAAAGTAAATTTGAAAAAAATACATTTTCTGCCATCACCCAATTTGTAAGATATTGGGAGCTTTCACTTGAAATTTAAAAAATTTCTATTTTTTAGGAATATTTTTTGTTTTCTAATAGAAAAAGGTGTTAATACTTACAATGAAGCCAAAACTTTAGACTAAAAATAATTTTTTCCCTAAATTATAATTGAATACAACATTTTTGAAAAAAATTAAATTTTTCATTTTTTCCACCAAAAATTATTTTTTAATTAAAAGTTTTTTCATAAGGTGATATCCTTTACAATTTTCAAAGAAATAACAAAAGCCGTAGCATGGTAACGAAAATTTTTTGGGCTGACACTTATTCTCCCATTACCTCACAGAATTCTTACAGGCCGAAATTTGAATAAAAAAATAAAAACGTAAACAAATTTTATTATTATTTCGATTTTTATACATGTATACATATCTACACATATTCACCTATAATATAATGAAAAACATAACTAAATAATACGATTTTAACTACTTATGGTGATGTTTAGAAATATTTTGCATTTTACAACGAAAACTCGAAAAATACATTTTCTCTTGCCTTTACTAAAAGTTTGTCAAGAATGTGATCGTTTGTTTTGGAATGATATAAACAAAGGTTGTAGGAGATTTTCTAGACATTGCAGCAAATTTTAAGGCTTCTAAGTGCGTGAAATTTAAAAGATCCTATTACCCGCAAGCTCCCACCACCCCACGCTCCCCTAAGTTATTTTCTAAAATACCTACTTAACTGAATTAAGTTGAAATTTTGCAAAGTTGAAAGGAATTGATAAAATTTTTTCGTTAAATTTCAGATTAGTTTTGTTAATTGTAGGTCAATTCCTGGAAACTAGCAATAATTGCGCCTTTAATTGTTATATTCGGGAAATTCAAATTGAATGTAATTAAAAAGTCAACAATATCAATTTTTCAGAAAGGAGACGTTATCGATGTAGTGCAAATGAACAAAAGCGGTTTATGGAAAGGCGTTGTACACAATAGAACAGGACACTTCAAGTTTATAAACGTGGAGATTCTGAATGAGAGGGTACTGAGGCGAGGTGAACCGGAGCGAGGAAAGTGGGGCCACAGATACAGACAGAAACCCGGATCCGTTCAAGAGCTCTTACAAAGAATGAATCTCCAGGTAGGAATCTACAATTTTTTTGTAAATCATTCACAACTATAATTTTCCAAAAGTAAAAGATTCTACACTACTTTTCGATCTGACTTACTTTCATAATGATTTATTCTCTCTAAATTTCTCAATAATGAAAATAATTTCCGTAGTAGAAAATTTTTAAATTGAAAAGAATGAATATTTGTAAAGAAAAGTAATTAAACTAGGGGGGCAATGAGGAAACTTGCATAAGAAGGTTAGAGATGCATCGAGTGTAGAGAAATTTAATCGCAAAATCGAATAGCAAACAATCAACGTGGCTACTTGCAAGTTTCTAGAATCGATCTTTAGTCTCAGCATGACTCGAACCTAGAAAGTTTGCAGAAAGCACAAACTACATTGAACTAACTCGTTCTGCATAATGGATGTACAGGAACATATTCCGGTATTCGTGCTGAATGGTTACGAGGATCTCGAGCTGTTTAGGGAGTTGGAGCCAGCGGATTTAGACTACCTTCGCATTCATCAACCGGAACATCGGGCTAAGATCCTTACTGCCGTTCAACTTCTACATGACCTACAATGTAAGTGTTTATTTTCAAAAATAAACAGCCCCAAACTGGGGAGATTTGCATTATTCTTTAACGTTCATCCCATTAATCTTTGACAATTCTCTTTTAACCTCCTTCTATTTCTTTACAGTCTGACTGAAATTTACTTTTACTACTACACCACTTTATTAAGTTTTTTTATTGGGAAATCAAAATGAAATTTTATTTGTTGTTCATTTATTGTCTGGTTGAAATTCACTTGTACTACTTCGGGAGTTAAATTAAAAGACACTGAAGAATTTTCACTCTGACTAAGATTAAAACTTAATATTAATGAAGAAAATAACAAGAGTTGAAAACACTTGGTTTGACTAAAACCGCCCTTTACTGCTTACAGCTGTAAACAAAAAATTTTAATTTGGTCTGGTCGAAACATTTTTATTCAGTCCGTTTAAAGTAGATTCTTACTACTTATAATTAACTTACAATTAATAAAAAATGTCGTTCCAGACTAAAAGAATCTTTCCCTAATAAAAAATGTCTGTCACTGCAATTTACTGTCACTACCTACTGAAAACAAAATTTTACAAATTTAAAATATTCTGTTTCACTGAAACTACTGTGAAAATTCGAGTGCGGATCAAAAGTGCACCAAAATTTTCATAAAGTATTCCATTTTACAATAATTAAATATTGTTATTTTAATATTTTTTTTCAATTAAGTTTTCTTTAAATATTAATTTTTTTGAGATATATTTTTACATTCATAAAAGATTCTTTTATTGTTTATTGTTTTTCTTTTTAATTCTTCTTTTTTTTAATTTTGTGAAAAAATCGTTATTGGGCTAAAGAAGGTAAAAAAAAAAGTTTAAAAAATAATTTGATTTAGACATATTTAATGTTTTTGAGGTCATTGAATCCAATTTTAATCTCAAATTTTTTAAAATTTAAAATTGGAGATTAAGTAGGGGAGAGTGGGGGAAACCGGACATACTAACGACTTTTTTACTCTTGTGACTAAATGAATCAACCGACTTCATTTTTCGATGGCTTGTTTGAAAGATCATTTAATTGCGCAACTTTTTCCCAGAGATACTTATACTTTATCTTCTATTGTTTAGTTTCTGTGTTAACTTTAAAAAAATTTGCAAACTGTCCGGTTTGCCCAACCCCCTGGGGTAAACCGGCCACCCTACGGGGCAATCCGACCAGTTGGGTTTTTTATTTATAATATTGCATTTGTATAATCTACAATAACAACAAACATAAAATATCATGTGAACAATGGTATGAATAATGTAAATAATAATACAGGATTGAATTTTAATTAAATAAATAATTTTTTTAATAACAAAAACAAATATGTTTGAAATTATCAGTGAAACAATATTAAAGGGTCTAACTGTCATTTAAAGACAATTATCTTTCATTGAAAGTAAATATTTTAATGAAAAAAACATTCTAATTAATAATAATAATTTTCGTGAAACTCTGATACAATAAAAATATCCTATGGCCGGTTTGCCCCACCGAAAACACGCCAGTTTGACCCCCTGGCCCATTTTGAGAATTAATATTTGTTTAAAAAAAACGCTTTGCAAATTCATCAAAGTTTTTGGTGGTAAATATTCCTGTGGTGTGTACCTTCAAAACCTAAGACCTAATATTTGAAAATATTACATGATTTTCTCAGAATTTCTTTAAGAACAAGTTCGTAAAAGTACTAAAAAAAACTTTTTCTCCCAGCGTTGCACAAACAAAAGTAAAAAATGTCAAATTGAAAAAATAAGGTATACTACACATGTTATAATATAGATTTAAGAATTTATCACTCGGTAAATGAATAGAGGATGAGATTTTATCAATATTTCCGAGTCTCGGAAAGATTGATAAAATCTCATCCTCTTTACTACACATGGTTGTTTCAAATTTCTAAACAACACTTTTGACAATTTCGCCATTTCGGAGATATTGACACCTGGCCGGTTTGCCCCACTCTCCCCTATGCAGACCAACATTTTTAGAAATTAACTTATTTGTCTCAAAATAATTACTCGAGAATTTTAGGGGTCACTGACTCCAAATTTAATGTCAGATTTAATTAAAAAACTCAAAATACACTGCAAGCCCGATCAGTGGTAGCTTGTTTACGTCATTTGTAGATGAGACGGGCGAGGGGCAAAGAGGGAGTATACATTAAAGACGCTCTGGCCCCTTAAAAAAATGCAGTAGTAAAGTAACGGAACCCTATGATAAAACAGTTCTGGATAATTTAAAAAATTTTTGGTTGACATATTGTATCCGCCATTTTGAATTTTTAAAATGTCACATTTAATTCTATTTCGACGACCACAAAAACCCCCAAGTAACGCATTTGTATTAAAATGCGTCAATTTTTTAATTTTTTGACTTATTTATTGCGCCATTATGAATTTTTAAATTGACATTAAGTTTTAATTTAGCATGTAATTGAGCGGCCGGATCGTAGAAGGGCACGTAAATTTTTCTCGATCGAAATCTAAGTCCCCTGAACACTCAAAATTCAACTTCTGAATTTAAATATTTTAAATACACATCCTTATAGAAAATTTCATTCCGCATCTTTTTTTCTTATGAAATTTTTTTCTATCTATTACCGTTTTCGAAATATTTTGGAAAAACTGTTTTTTTGAAAACTGTAAATTTAATGACATTTTTCACTTCAACTCGCGATATTTCAACAAATTTTAAAATTTTTTCAATGAAACAAAAATGAAAATACGTCTTAAGGTATTCTACGAATGATAAAAAAAGAAAAAAGTGGTTTTCTTTATAAACAAAATTGTTATTAATTTTTTTCTTTATTAATGTAAAAATCACGAACTACAATCTTCACGGCTCTCGTTTAACGGGCGAATTTTGAGTAACAGATAACTTTCAGTGAGAAAGTTGTTCATTATGATCCAAAAAAGTTTTCTGGAAAATAATAAGGTTAATATCGCGACTTGAAGTGAAAAATGTCATTAAATTTACAGTTTTCAAAAAAACAGTTTTTCCAAAATATTTCGAAAACGGTAATAGATAGAAAAAAATTTCATAAGAAAAAAAGATGCGGAATGAAATTTTCTATAAGGATGTGTATTTAAAATATTTAAATTCAGAAGTTGAATTTTGAGTGTTCAGGGGACTTAGATTTCGCTCGAGAAAACTTTACGTGCCCTTCTACGATCCGGCCGCTCAATTTAGTATGTCTGATTATAATAGTATATTAAGCAACAAGGGTATAAAGGCAGCCATTTGTTTACGATGATTTTTGTGACACGAAAGGAGGTCGAGGGCGCCCTCGACCTCCACTCGTGTCACAAAAATCATCCTAAACAAATTGGCTGCCTTTATTCCCATGCAGTTTACGATGACAAGACATGTCTCGTACGTTTAATGTGTATTATAATTGTGAACAATAAATAATGATTAGTTTTCTTTATTAACATCTTGACTATTTATTTAACATGGTAGCTGAGTGTGGTTACAAAATTTATTAAAGGCTGTGTTGATTAAAATCAGTTTGAAGTGAGTTGGTTTTAAAATTGTTTGAAAAGTGAAAATGGCGTCAATCAAGTGTGATGACATAGTTATTCCCATTTTCGACGGTACGGAGTATGCAAATTGGAAAAAGCGAATTTTAAAGTTTTTCCAATATAAAAAAAATTGGACAAGTGCGAGTTGTACTCGCACTGCAATGGCGGGTTCCGCACACAAATATTAAAACAATACTTGCAACATTGATCGGTAATTGGTAGAATTAAAATAAACAATTATAAAAATATATTAAAATCATTTGATAAAAAAAATAACTAAAAAAATTAAAGTATTGTATATATATAATATTGTAAACAATAATAAGCAGAGGAACAAAATTTTCAAAATTTATTATAGTTCCTCTGCTTATTATTGTTTACAATATTAGATATACAATACTTTAATTTTTTTTAGTTATTTTTTTTATCAAATGATTGTAATATATTTTTTTAATTGTCTATTTTAATTCTACCAATTACCGATCAATGTTGCAAGTATTGTTTTAATATTTGTGTGCGGAACCCGCCATTGCAGTGCGAGTACAACTCGCACTTGTCCAATTTTTTTTTATTTTTAGTTAAGAAATTAAAGTCAGAAAACAATCTCTCATTTATTCTCTTAAAATTTCACTCTCTTCCTTAAAATATTTAATGCCACGTGTTTAAACTAAAAAAAATTTTAAAAAAAATTTTTTTTGATTTTTTTTCAAAAAGTTTCTTAAATAAATTTTTTGTCGTCAGACTGTAATAATACACTAGGATACCAATTTCCAGCTCATTAGGTCAAATAATGTAAAAGTTAGGGAAAACAAATTTTTTTTTTAATTTTTTAGTTTTTCCTTGACAACGCTATGGCCATCATTACATATCAAGTTCTCTATATTTTTCCTGTAATATTCGAGTAAAAATACACCAGCATGCAAAATTTCAGCTCTCCATGTCGAATAGTTTAGAAGTTAGGGGGGGGGGGGAATGGTCACTTTTTATGCATTTTTGGCCAAAAATCTTGTTATTTCCTTGACAACGCTATGCCCATCACGTCCAATCACATTCGCTATATTTTTCCTGTAATCTACGAGTGAAAATACATATCTGGACCAAATTTGAGCTCTTTAGGTCAAATAGTTTAGCCGCTAGGGGGGGGGACACGATTTGGCTACGGACAACAGAGTCTCACCAATAGGGTTCCGCCGATACACCGTAGGTGTACGGAACCCTAAAAATTAAGTGAAGTTGTCGAAAGAGAAAGAAATTCAACAGATAGTGAAACTGATTGGGAAGCAAAAGATATTAAAGCAAACAATTTTATCTACAGTGCAATTTCTAATAAGCAATTAGAATATATTGGTGAACTCACAACAGCCTTTGGTATAATTAAAAAGTTCAATCAAATGTACCTAAAAAAATCAACTGCTTTGCAAATCATTTGTAGAAGCAATCTGGAAAACTTAAAGTTAAAAAATTTTTCCAGCCCGACCACGTTTTTCGATGAATTTGAAAAGGCCGTGAACGAGTTAAAAGGTGCTGGGGCTACAATCACGGAGCCAAAAAAATTAAATTATATGATAAAATCTCTTCCATCATCATATAGTCACATAGGAGATTTAATGGATATATTACCGGAGAAGGAAAGAACTGTCGAGTATCTTCAAAGCAAAATTAAAATGAAATCTATGGAAGAAAAAAATGATCATGATAAAGATGTTGAAGAGGAAACGAAAACTAATGCATTCAAGACTGAAACTAATACACAAGCTAATTCTATAAATTGTCGAAATAAATCTAAAACGAACAATAATCAACTATGTTACGGATGTGGAAAACCAGGACACTTTCAAAAGGACTGCAGATCAAGTGGAGGAAATAATTTCAGAGGAAATCAACGGCGTGGAAGAGGAAATAACAGATGGTTTCACAGCAATCGAGGAAATCAACGAGGGTTTAGAAGATCTCATTATGAAGGTCAACAATATACTCAAGAAAATCAAAACATTTCGCATGGAACTTTTAATACAGAGGTATTGAAAATAGAAACAAGTGTTAGTGATTCTACACACTCTCAGGTGATTAATTGGCTTCTGGATAGTGGCTCTACGGATCACATTGTAAATAAGGATTCATATTTTGAATCATCAGTGGTTCTCGACCCACCTGTAGATGTCAAAGTTGCAGATGGTCGAATTCTTCAAGCTACAAGAATTGGTAATATAACCACTGTATTTGAAGTACATCAAAACAAAACAAAGGTAACGATTCACAATGTTTTCTATGTAAGGGAAATGAAATCTAATTTGCTGAGTTATTCTAAAATTTTGATTAAAAATAAAATTGTCTCTCAGGGAAATTTGTCAAAAATATTTAATGAAAATAATAAATTATTAGCAGTTGGTCAAATTGAAAATAATCTGATTAAAATGACAAGTTATGTCATCACTGATGAAAATAAAAGTCTCAAATTTTTCATCAGCGAATAAAAATAATCTTATTTCACAAAAAGAAAAATGGCATCGTATGCTTGGCCATGTAAATTTTAAATATTTAAACGTTTTATGCAAAGACGAACTTTTAGATGGAGCTCCGAAAGAACTAGAATCAGATTATATGAAATGCGAAACATGTATTGTAAATAAAATGACAAATTTGCCTTTTGAGAACAACAGGACTCGAGCCAAAGGACTTTTGGATATAGTTCACACCGATCTAAATGGACCACATCAAACAATTGGATATTCCGGTGAAAAATACTTCTTATTATTTTTGGACGATTACAGCAAACTGGGAAAAGTTTATTGCATCAAATCAAAGGATCAGGTATTTAATTGTTTTGTAGCTTATGTTAATGAAGTTCAGAATGTTACAGGCAAAACAATTAAGAAACTTCGATGCGATAACGGCTCTGAGTATTTGAATTCAAGAATTTTTAAATTTATCCGAGAGAAGGGAATTCATCTTGACCCTTGTCCCCCATATACTCATGAATTAAAATCGTTTCAAAATCGTCGACTTGTGCTGAGTATATAGCGTTGTCTGAGGCTGTTACAGAAGTAACTTTCATTCGAGGAATTTTAGAATCTTTTAATATTAAAATTAAAAATCGAGTAAATTTTTATGAAGATAATGTTGGAACTTTATTAATTGCTAAATTTGGTAATATGACAAAAAACTCAAAGCACATCGAAGTGCATTATCATTTTGTAAACGAAAATTATGAAAATGGAAATATTGATATAATTAAGGTAGACACTGAAAATAACATAGCAGATATTTTCACAAAAGCGCTTGGAAAATCAAAATTTATTAAATTTCGAGAATTATTGAATATTGAGTAATCAGCTAATGTTGTCTTTCATTTTTAATTTTAAAAGTTTAAGTTTAAATTTTTATTTGTTGATTATTTAAAATTATAAATGTAAGGAGGCGGGTTGAGAATAATACATTTATATTTTGGTGTTACGTGTGTATCATCAGCAATTTCATGCGCACTGTCATATTAATTGCCAGTTCGTCTTTGCAGTTTACGATGACAAGACATGTCTCGTACGTTTAATGTGTATTATAATTGTGAACAATAAATAATGATTAGTTTTCTTTATTAACATCTTGACTATTTATTTAACATAAACAAATAAGCATATTTTTAAAACTGTGAATTTGTTTATAAATCTGAGCGGTCAAGTTATAGAGAACCATTTTCTGAAGAAAATAAGCCATCATTGACTTAAATCGAATCAGTTTTGAAAAAGTCTAATCTTTTAATATGCATAAAACTTTGATCATATGCAAAATGACTAAATAAACAATTTTTGTAAGTTTCAAATTTTTTTCTTGAAAATTAATATTTGTTCTTGCAGAAGATACGAATAACAATAATATTAAAAAACTATTTAATGTCAATTCAATATTTTTTCTAAAGGTCTGCATACCTGTAAACAACCTCCTTAAATTCAATGTTTTATTAAATATTTAAAACAATCAAGTGATAAAATCAAATATTTTTTTTATAATAATTTTTACTGCTACTACCACCTAAACAATAACAATTTTAAATTTCAAGCCCGACAAAAAGTATTTTTTACTAACAAAATTTTGCTACAGGAGTAAACGATGGTGATTCTTATTTTGCCGTAGATTACGAAACTGTAAGTATAATGTTTCCATCTGGTGTCAAAAATCGTAATTTTAGTAAGGGGACAATTTGCCAAAAACGTGGTCAAAGACAGAAATTGTCTTGAAACTTTATATTCAAGAGTTTCCAGAGTTGCTAATTATAAATCCGATGTTAGTTTTCCTAACTTCAATATGCTGGAAGATTTTTAAACATTGATTGGGTCGCTGATTATGAATCGGTTGATACTTGTTACTCGTCTGCGGATTCGTTTAAAAGCTGTTCCCAATAATTTTGAGTTAATGATACATTATTTTTTGCCCTTGGAGGTTAAAATTAAAAGTTTAAGCTCTCGTTTAAGCAGTATTAAGCTGCATATCTTGCAGTTGCGTTTCTTCTTTATCTTTTAAAACTTTGATCCTGTATTTCTTAAAGTTAAGACTTTGTATAAAAATGTTACTTACAGATTCGTATTCTACGGCAAAAATTCAAGTGGGCCTGACTAAATATTTTTCCCCTTTTTTGTAAAAGAAAGATTTCTAGCTCATATAAGTATTTTAAATTTTGTTTTCTATTTTGCCAACAGCTGGAAGCGAAGGGGACTTAGCATCAAGTTCTGAGGGCGATGAGGTTGGCCGACTTGCGCCAACCTCAAGTCAGACATCCGGACACTGTTCCCCGTTCAATCGACGCCAATTCCCCCGTGATTCAGGATGCTATGACGCTCACAATAAGAATCCCACGAGACGCACTGTGAGTCCCGATAATACCACAAAAGTCATAAGGGAGAATAATCTCGATGTCAGCAGTGTTCAAAGTGGTGGTAAGTGCGCAATTAGCGATGGCATTCAATTATCATCAGAATCAAAAGACGATTTTCATCCAAATATACCAATATCGGGGACAATACAAAAGGAGCCAGCCTTTGAGAAATCGCCATTGTTACGCGGTGGGAACGTTCGATTTATTGGGAAAAGAGGAAATTTCGGTGAAACTGTTGTAATTGAAGATGCTTGTGAAAATACGCATAAACTTGGTATGGTGAAGTATGTCGTTGGCGCCAATAATGATCTTGGTCTAAATTGTGAGACGGGAAATGCAACAGTGAATTTGAGTCAAAGGGGTTGTCTGAGTGAAAAATCAAGTGACTCGGGTGTCAGTTCCTCGAGTCTCAGTTCTGCACCACCACCAAGAGACAAGAATCTTGTTGCCACCGTTGCCTCCGATTCGCCGACCAAAAACTTTGCCAATTTCTCAAGAAGCTCGCCAACTTCACATGTCATTGCTGCCAAAAGTCAAAGTAATGATGCCAGTTTCCAGTAGGTTAAATAAAACAAAATAACAATGTCCTCTTCAAAAGCACCGCAATTACATTTTTATATATTATACATTTTTATTTACTACAAATTTTCCTTTATATACCAAAACAAATTTAGAATAAATTTTCCATTAACATATCAAATTCGTAAAACGTAAATGAGCCGCCGGAAAGTAAAACCACACATAAAATTTCCACAGGCGTTTCAGTTGGCCCTTGATGGTTGAAAAATCGATGGTCATAAAAAAATTTTTAAAAATCACTTTCTTATTGGAAATTGAATTTCGCATCTTTTTTCTTCTATAAAAAAAATTGATAACTCTTACCATTTTCGAGAAAAATGCAAAAAACTGAATTTTTCGAAAACACATTTTTAATTGAATTTTTCACTTCAACTCGCTCTAAAACATAAAGTTATGAATATTTTTTAATAATATTTACAGGGAATATAGTTTAACCTATCCTCAAGACAACAAACTTTGTCAGAAAGTAAAATATTTTATGTAAAAAAGTTATTAATTTTTTTCATACATAGTGTCAAAATAATTATTTTCAATGTTCGAGGGCTTCGTTTATCTGAAAAATTTTTAGTGATCAAAAACTTCCAGTAAAGAAAATGTTCATTAAGGTATAATAAATATTTTTGCCAAATAGTTTTACTCTTGGATTAACAGTTTAGAAAATATTATTAAAAAACTATTTTCTGTCAAACGCGCGCGAGTCAAGAATCTAACGCTGCATAGTGCCACCGACACTGCCGGGCATAAAGACTCAAGGTTGTTAGTGTTTACTATAACAGTGTTTATATCAATAGTGCATTAGTAAATTCATTAAATATGTGAAGAAATATTTTATAATATACTTACCTAAAATTTTTTTTTTTTAAATGACTGATGTAAATAATAAATTAGGTATTGGTAGAAAACATGATTTATTATTTACATCAATCATTTTGAAAAAAATAAATTTTTTAGGTAAATATATTATAAAATACTTCTTCACATATTTAATGAATTTACTAATGCACTATTGATATAAACACTGTTATAGTAAACACTAACAATCTTGAGTCTTTATGCCCGGCAGTGTCGGTGGCACTAGCGTTAGATTCTTGACTCGCGCGCGTTTGACAGAAAATAGTTTTTTAATAATATTTGCTAAACTGTTAATCCAAGAGTAAAACTATTTGGCAAAAATATTTATTATACCTTAATGAACATTTTCTTCACTGGAAGTTTTTGATCACTAAAATTTTTCAGATAAACGAAGCCCTCGAACATTGAAAATAATTATTTTGACACTATGTATGAAAAAAATTAATAACTTTTTTACATAAAATATTTTACTTTCTGACAAAGTTTGTTGTCTTGAGGATAGTTTAAACTATATTCCCTGTAAATATTATTAAAAAATATTCATAACTTTATGTTTTAGAGCGAGTTGAAGTGAAAAATTCAATTAAAAATGTATTTTCGAAAAATTCAGTTTTTTGCATTTTTCTCGAAAATGGTAAGAGTTATCAATTTTTTTATAAAAGAAAAAAGATGCGACATTCAATTTCCAATAAGAAAGTGATTTTTAAAAATTTTTTTATGACCATCGATTGTTCAACCATCAAGGGCCAACTGAAACGCCTGTGGAAATTTTATGTGTGGTTTTACTTTCCGGCGGCTCAAATGTTTTCGAATAAAACATCAAATTATTTAACAATTAAATATCTAATATTTTTATTAATTGCAATATTTTTATAGATTTAAGCAACTAACGAAAGAAATACTTTTTTCTTAAACAAACACCAAAATACATAATTAACTGAAATAGGGAATTAAATTTTTTCAATGGGGTGTTTTTTCAAGAACGAAAATAGTCCAAGGAAATTATCATACACTGAAAGTGTCTTTAAATAAAAGTTTCCTCCTTGTGAGTAAACATTTATTTTTTAAAGTAGATTTTAAGTAGGGGAGACCGGGGCGTAATGGATCAGGGGCGTAATGAATCACTTCAATTTATTCAAAAGTGATAAGTCAGAGTAATTTCGGTCTCCGATCAAAATAATGTACTTGGTGTACTGAAAGTTTGTACCAAGTTATATTGTTATTAATTCATTATTGTAGAAAATATGGTAGAATAAGTGATTTTGACACTTAAAAGTAAATTTTTGAAGTCTTTGTTTTTTTGTTATATCTTTTTCAAAAATAGTTGTAAAAAATTTTTGTATATCAGGTTTTAAGATTTAAACATTTGTTCTTAAAGAACAATTGACAATTTTTGTTTCTTACGGTATTGATAAAAAATAACTAAATTTTCAACAAATACCTCCGGGGCGTAATAATTATTTTATCACTTTGCGCAGGGCGTGTTGGCTCGTTTATTCTACTAAGAAAAACCTATTATATTTAAAATATTAATAAAATAAACCTGTCAAGTTTAATTTCTTGTAATTTATACATTTATACCTTTATTAAAAAAATTACTAGAGAATAAATTTTTTTAAGTAAATAGTTTTTGCATTTCGCTACAACTTTTTAAAATTTGAAAATTTCATGAAAATGTTTAAAGTTTAAATTAAATATGTTCCATTTTTAATATTCTTTATTATAAATTTACAATAGATACCAAAAGTGTCAATACTGTAATAATATTTCGTGATATAAATTATAATTTCATTCCTGATTCAATACGCCCCGGCCCGAGGCGTAATGGATCACCTTGCATTTCTCTAAAAACAATGTTCCAGAAAAAAAAGTATGAGTGATATTAGGGCGTACTTTTTTAATTGAAAGCTGAGATGTTAGGCTAAGTTTTCCATATAATAAAATTTTTATTAACGCAAGAATGACGAAGTTAAGCAACAAAAAGTGAAAAGTGATCCATTTCGCCTTGGTCTCCTCTATTTACACTTTGAACTATATTGCCCAATATCAGACATATTTAAGTAAAACTAACTAAACAATAAAATCTAAAGTCAATAGAAATAAACGTTAAAAATAAAATTTTTCACAGTTAATTTTAATTTATTTATACATAAAACTTTTTTGTTAGGTACACTACCGTCGGGAATTATCGGTACGGCTGCACGCGCACGGCCCAAAAACATACCAATCATTAAATGAGGATTTTTTTGTAAATACAAATGTCAAAAAATTAACAAATATATCATTCGAAAGAATATTAAATTCTACGATAAATGATATATAACTAAAAATTTTAATAATTTATACAAAGATTGCAGCAATCAACAAATTTGACAAAAAAATTTAAAAAATAAAATTTTTTTGGAAATTTTTTCAACCCCTGCACATTTTTTAAAAATTGTACAAAAAATTTGAAACTTATATAGGTGTGATCATTAAAATATCATCTTTAATTTAAGACCAAAAGAGTTAAAAAATCTTAATCGGTTAGCGAGATATTATAAACGGCAGAGCATTTTCAGCCAAAAACCGTTCAAAATCGACTAATTCACTGCATTTGTCAAAAAACATGCTCGGACGTTTATAATGATATCTCACGAACCGAATAAGATTTTTAAACTCTTTTGGTCTTAAATTAAAGATGAGACTTGAATGATCACACCTATATAAGTTTCAAATTTTTTGTACAATTTTTAAAAAATCTGCAGGGGTTGAAAAAATTTCCAAAAAAATTTTATTTTTTAAATTTTTTTGTCAAATTTGTCGATTGCTGCAATCTTTGTATAAATTATTAAAATTTTCAGTTATGTACCATTAATCGTAGAATTTAATAATCTTTGGAATGGTATATTTGTTAATTTTCTGACATTTGTATTTACAAAAAAATCGTGATTTAAAGATTGGTATGTTTTTGGGCCATGCGCGTACAGCCGTACTGATAATTCTCGACGGTAGTGTATAAAATGTAAATAGAAAATATTCTTAAATTTTTCACAATTTTTATTTTTTTTAATTTTTTAAATTCAGTTACTAATTAAAATTCTGTTTTTGTTAAAAAAAATTATTACACTTAAGAATTTGTAATTATAAAAATTTACTCAAAGAAAAGAATTAGAATGCGAAAAATTTGCGGTGCTTTAAAGAATTGACATGAAGCAAAGTGCTTTTTATAAATTTATAAAATAAATCATTAAACCTGGCAACTGGCATGCCAGGCTCTTAGTAAGTTTTAACAATGTGATATCATAACAATAGGCGATCGATGTAGATGCAATAGTGACCCAATGAAAAAAAAAATTGTATTCAGTTGCAAATGACATTAAAATCAAAGTCAAATTTAAAAAAATAAAGAATTTACAAGACATTAAATTCAAAATCAAATTAGATTCTAAATGACAATGTTAGAATGTTATGAAACAATTAAGTTCTATAAATAAAAAAAATGTTCCATAAAATTAAGTCCTAGATAAAAAAAAGTTTTAAAATATTAAGTTGTAAATGAAGAAGTTTGAAAATTCATTAAGTTCTCAATAAAAAAATGTTTAATACTAATTTTATTTCCAAGTATAATATTATTTCAAAAAAAATAAGTTTTAAATAAAAACAGGTTTAAAAAACTCAAGTTTCCAAGAAACTGTAATTTTTACAAAAAATCAGTTTTCATTAAAAGACTTTCAAATAGAATTAAATTTTAAACAAATGTAAACTTTTATTATTAATGCGTTATTAATAAATTTAAATAAAATACTAAATTTTTCACTAATTTAAGTTTAAAAACAACTTTTTAAAATTTTTAAATATTATAGTCGATTTTTTCTACTGAAACTTTATTAAAAATTTGAATGACCAAATAAAATATTAAAAATTGATGAAAATTGGTGAAATTTATTAATAATATGAATTTCTGAAAGATTTTAAAAATATTCTACTGTCTCTTTTTACTAAAACTTTAATATGAAAAATGTAAACTTCCAAATAAAATATTCAAATTTTAATAAAAATAGAAATTTTCCCCAAATTGAAATTTAGAGAAAAAAGATGTTGACTACTTTCTTGCAGGTTAATTAAAAATTCTTTTTTTCAAATTAAAAATAAATTTCTATTTCAAGTTTTTTTTAAATATAAAAATACGTTTTTTTCTTTGGGTCACTGCAATAGGTAGACATAATTTTAAAAAAATTACGATCCTACGCATATATCGACATTTAACATTGTTATGTGCGCTTGGCAATTTTATCGAAACCGAATAATAATCTATCATTGTATTAGGAAATAAAATAAAAATCTCAATTTTAGAACGAATGTATAAAGATTTCAACCTTTTTTTTAACTAAAAATGTCGCTCTAATTCAGAACAATAAATATACAGACACATGGAAATTACTTGAAAGAAAAATGAAACTTTACTATCATAGTTGTTAACAACTTATTACTAAATTTAAAAGAAACACAAAAATATTCAATTAATAGATCAATATTTATTATTATTGTTATTATTATTAAGTAGAGAGGGATAAAATGCTATGATTTTTTTAGCATTAAAATATTATACAGATCACAAATATCTTAAACAAACAACTAAATCTTAATAATTTCAAATAATTTTTTCCATAGATATTCTAATTGCAAAAAAAAACTATTTCTAACATTTTAATATTACAAATTTATATGGTAATATCGAATTCTCACAGAAAATTGTGTTGTATTTAGTTCATATTGTTTTGAATACTAAATTGGATTAAAATAAGGAGCGTTACCAGAATTTTCTGTGCTGCGAGTTAATGATAGCTGCGGGGATGATAGAAAGGTGAGAGATTTTATATACTAAAAGTCAAAAGAAAATTTTCTACTGAGAATCAAAAAGAATTTCTACTAAAAGTCAAAAGAATAACTATATAAAACTAAAAGTAAAAATAATTTCAATTGCGCGTATGAAATAGTATATTAAGCAACAAGGGCATAAAAAAGGCAGCCATTTGTTTACGGTGATTTTTGTGACACGAGTGGAGGTCGAGGGCGCCGTAGGCGCCCCGAGACCGGAACGAGTGTCAGAAAAATCATCGTAAACAAATTAACTGCCTTTATTCCCGTGTTACTTACGATATTTTTTATTCCTAATGCACAAAAGTGGCGATTTCAGATAGCAGACGACAGGGAATAAAAGTCAGTCACTTGTTCGACTTGTATGAAAATGGCGGCCTTTTTTTTACCTTGGGCAAAAGAAAAGCATGGGACCAGCTGTTTTTTTGCCCTTGGGGAAAAAAAGGTCGCCATTTTCATACGGTCGAACAAATGAATGACTTTACTCCCTGTCGTCAGCTATCTAAAAGCGCCATTTTTGTGCATGTGGGATAAAAAGAGTTTTTACTGTCAAAAGAGTTTCTATAAAAAAAATTGTATTAAGATTTTTAACAGATTAATTTAAAAAAAATCATTATTGTCAGATAATGAAATATTTTAATCATTTAGTTTTCATTAAAATTATTAATTTCAATTTATTACAATGACAGATTATTGTTAAATTATTATTTTAAAAAAATTTAAAATATATAATTTTTTCACATCGATAAAAAAATATTTTCTAAGTGACCACTATTGAAGCAAGCACTAAAATTTCTAACGATAGACAATCTTCGCCATCGCGATTAAAACTATATTGTAGGAAATAAAATATATATATATATAGTTTTCGACACGATTGTGAAATGTAAAATCTGTACATTGGCCTCACGGGGAACGTTAAAACTTTACAGAGAATAAATAATTATGTAAATAACCATTAAAAAACCTAATGATGTTTTGTATATCGAACATGTCTTTGCCAAAACTTAAGACTAGATTCTATTAAAAAAATGATTATATATACAATAACGTTGAATCTTATGTACATCTTTGTATAGAATATAAAAAAATGGCAAATATATTATTATTAGTTGTTATATAAATATATAGAATTTAGAAACTTTTCTAAAAAAAATAAAAACAATAAAAATGATGTTTCGCATGATCAAACGCGTATGAAAGCCAGCTTGCAAAATGTTAATAATAACAGATAAAAAATGTTGTGTATATACGTATTATATCATATTCGAGACTATTTCAAAAACCTCAATCGATAGCTTCCCTTGTTTTATAATTTAATATTGAGAACGTTCCAAAATTTACTCTCCGAACAAACTCTCTTCCAATATTATATAAAATCACACAGAATTTCTGATATTATGTAAATATTATTTTTAATAATTATCGTAAATTTTTATTTTAAATAATTAAATAATTTATTTTAAATACTCCTTAATTTATCTGAAGTAATAAAATAATTATTTTTAATAATTATATACTCATTCCACATAATTAAACACTTATTGGAACTTATTCCTGCGAATAATTAATATAAGTTCTGTAAAAATTGTTTTAAGCATGCAAGAAAAAATCATGATTTCGTTGACTTGAAATGAATCCATTTTTTGTCACTTATTACTTAAACACATTTTTAATTTTTAAATAATACTAAATAATATTTTTTCTACACAAGTTTAAAAATGATTAAAAACATTTTAGTCAAGTTAATTAATTAAAATTTTACAATTACAAACGTACGGTTTAAAATAATTTTCAAAAATAAAATTGATTAAAAAATGTAATAATCCTAACACAATAAATTATGATATAAATAATAATATTGAAAATCTTGTTTTAAAATAAATAAATTTAAAATGAAAAAGTAAATAATTTTAATTTAGAAAAAACTTAGAAAAAATATAATAAGAATAAAGCAATAAAATTAAAAAATAAAGAATAACTACATTGCTAAATAAAGAAAAACTTTTTTCTCAAAATCGAAACAAAATTTAAAGCAGAAATGACACACAAATTTTTTAGAATGAAAACAAAATTTATGTAAGTTTAAATTACTTTAAGAACACATAACTTGATCTGTATTATTAACACATTGAAATATATTTATTATATGAGTTTCATTTGCGTTTAATGAATACACAATAAATGGCTCGTTTAAATATAAAATGAAGAAATTGAAAGCCTATAAAAAATTTTCATTAATGCCACGAGACATCCTTTTTTACTTGTATGCTTCGAAACCTTTATGGGTCGTAAACGATCAAGCCTCGACAGCAATATCATTCGTTCTATAATTTACTATTTTTTCACTTTTTTTAAAGAAATATAATTTTTCGATTCCAGATAACTTTAAGAAATCATCTTCAAGAGAGATATTACTGGTTTCGATAATGTTGCAGTAGATTATCCGTTCCATCAATTTTTAAGGTGCATATAAAAAAGGAAAGCGAGAGAATGAATGCAAATGAAAATGAAATTTAGATAAATAGAGGGTGACAAGGAGAGAGAAAAAAATATGTTAATTAATAATGAGTTTATGAGATTTTGTATAAATAGACACGACAGTGATTTTATTAGCTCGAAGGGCGGGTATCACTCGATGTAAATCATTTTACTTATAGGCCCCGTAGTAAATTAATTCGCGAATTTTATAGTCACTAAAATAAAAATTTAAAGAAAAATTAAAGCGAGGGATAAAGAGAATAAGAAAATAAATAATGAAAAATAAAAGATGAATGAGACATGTAAAGTAAATACGAAATGAAAAAAAGTTAATGAATAAAGAGTTAAATAAATAAAAGAGTAAATAAAGAAAAATGTACATAAATAGAGCATGAAGAAAGAAAGAAAGAGAAAATTATTCCTAAAGAGGCTATAAGTCTGTTCTTAATTGAAATCGAAAAATCAATAAATTATTATTAAAAAAGAAAAAATAATAATAAACCTTGTTACGAAAGTTAGTAACGGTTTTTTCTTTGACCAGCGACTGCAATTATAATAATGAGCCATCGATTTTTAGTCTTTATTCCGCCTGGAGCATGATGAGATTTAAATTAAATAAAGGTCTAGTCCAGTATATAAATGCGTCGAATCGCGTAAAATTGTAAATAAATAACAGTGGCTACAATCGTTAACGAGGGCCACCCAAAGTTTTTCTAAACTGATTTTATAATGTATTAATTATTATCTGAAAAAAATGATGATGAGATAAACTACGACTGTAATTCTCATTTCGTCAAGTTTTTACTACGTATTGTTTCAGCGGTAATATTGTTAATTTATTGACTGTGAATAGAAATAAAAATGACGAAGACTCAACAAATAAAATTTTCTCTTTTCCTTTCAAACCTTTTTGTCTATTTTTAATTAAATATATAGGGGAAAGTGGGGCAAGACGGGGTTGCGGGTAAGACGGGGTACCGGCCCTATTTAACAAACGAATTAACCAATCGCGATTATATTTTACATAATACTGCACCGAGACGATAGTTTCTTGTTTACAAAATCTATAAAAGCCATGAGAACAAATCTTTTATCTGTTTTACTAAAAAAACTGTTTTCGACGATTTTCTTGTCATTTTTTCACTTTTTTTAGGAGGTGTTTATTATTTAATAATAACAGTTAATGAACTGTATAAATTTTTTTCTAACTGGCAAGGGTTACAGAAAAAGGGAAGCATATGTTTTTTTTCTTTGTTGAATCGTAAATTGTAGTAATTAATCGTTTTATTTAATTTCGTAGGTGCAGGCAAGATGGGGTAGGGGAGAGTGGGGCAAGATGGGGTACACAAATTAAGCAAAAGAAAAGAAAAATAAGAGAAGATAAGAAAACTACTTAAATAAAAACTGAATAAAATAAGAGTGACCAAAAAGAAAAAAGCTCGTCAGGTTAAATCATCAATTGGCGATGGTAAAGTGGAAAATACACCTTGTCTCTATTGTAATGGTTATTATTTAGACTCAAATGAAGGCTGGGCTGCTTGTTTTGTCTGCGGCCAATGGGTTCACTGCAGTTGTGCTGGTGTCAATGACGAAGATGAAGATGCAACCTTTAATTGTAAAATTTGTCGACAGAAATAGGTTGCTTTCTTGAGTACCCCATCTTACTCGCCGGTGGGGCAAGATGGGGAGATTTGCAATTTTTTCAATATTATTAATTATAAGCTTTTTTAAGAAACAGATGGCCTTTGTACGCCTTTTTTACGAAAGACTGATTACCAAAAATGATAATTAAAAATAATAATAAAGTATATATTCGATAATTTTCGTTTTTTTGCGCTTTAAACCTTAAGTACCCCGTCTTGCCCCACTCTTCCCTATTAAACAATTAATTTTAAATTATAAATCAAACTTGAAATTAAAATCAATAGGAAAATTATTGAAATCACTTTTGTGTAAAAAATCATTTTATTTACTTCCTTCTTTGCAGTAAATTAACGTTTTTAGAATCGAAAAAGTTGGTTTTTTATAATGAATATTAGTTTTCATTTGTTTTAAAATAGGCTAATTTCATCTTGAGTGGACCGCCTAAGCTTTTTTTCGAAAAAATTCTTTATGAAAGCAAATTAATCGGAGGTTTCTATTCCAAGCTTTAGTTTAGATCACTAGATAAGTGTTTATACCAGATAATAGCTTTGATTTTTTTTATTTGGAAAAAAAATTGACTTTAAAAAAGCTAATTTTTAAGGAATAAAAAAAGTGTAATCTAAAGTGGACTACTTCTAAAAATTGCAAAAGTTATTCTAAATTCTTTAATGTATTCAATATTTCTGATATAGGGATAAAATTTCTGAAGTGGACCACCATCAAAAAAAAGTTCTGGGATTGATTTGGTACTTCGGTAATTTGTTCTCCTATATAAGAGTAACAAATTCCTAAAATATTAAAAGTTTTGAAAAAAAATTGTAAAAAGTAAGAGGGGGGGGGAAGTTTTTACATTTTCGAGAACATTGACATTTAAAATCTCTATAAGTCGGATAAAACTTTATGGATTTTAATTTATAAATAACGAAGTTTAAAACATTTTTCGTGTACTTTCTGATGCTTGCAATAAAATTTAAAAAAAAATTTTAACTCCTTTTTTTCAAAATTTATTTTTATTTTTGATTTTTTACCGATTTGGGTATTTTTATTTTTTTAAAAAATAATTTCATTGGAAAGCTAAGGTTTTTTCCAATGAGACATGTAATTTTTAGAGTGGGACAGAAAATAGTTTAAGAGAAATGTAATAAAAATGTAGACGTTGCGCGCGCTGTTGGTGCACCCTTTAGAGCTGCGGGTTCTGACTGCACCTAATTCAGTAATAGCTCCTCGGCATTATTCAGGGTTGAGACTGTCATTATACAATAATTCCTGCAGTACTGTTGCTAAAAAAAATTTAGAATAACCTGTTTTGAAAATTTTACATTTAAATTGATTAGAATTAATAGTATATTAAGCAACAAGGGTATAAAGGCAGTTAATTTGTTTACGATGATTTTTGTGACACGAGTGGAGGTCGAGGGCGCCGTAGGCGCCCCGAGACCGGAACGAGTGTCACAAAAATCATCGTAAACAAATTAACTGCCTTTATTCCCGTGTTACTTACGATATTTTTTAATCCTAATGCACAAAAGTGTCGATTTCAGATAGCAGACGACAGGGAGTAAAAGTCATTCACTTGTTCGACTTATATGAAAATGGCGGCCGTTTTCTCCCTTGGGCAAAAATAACGCATGGGATCAGCGGTTATGTTTGCACATGGGAGAAAATGGACGCCATTTTCATATGGTCGAACAAATGAGTGACTTTACTCCCTGTCGTCAGCTATCTAAAAGCGCCATTTTTGTGCATGTGGAATAAAAAAATTATTATACTGTTACTAACCGAAAAATACTTTTATTATAGAAAGAATTTTAAAGAATTGTTTTGAATTAAACGTGTATTTAACATTTACATTCAAAATAATATTTCTCTTACTGTCGAACCTTCACACTCAAAATTTATAATCAATGAATTATATTATAATTAATTATAATTAAATTATAATTAATTTAATTATATTATTTATATATAAACTTAATAAATAGAAATTCAGCATAACATTTTTTTATTCACATAATTATTAACTATAATAATCGTGGTATTCTCTCTGTCTCTCTACATCTGAAGTTGTAGTTTGTGTATACTTTTGTTTGACGTTAAGCTTTTATAGATTATATTATAATTATTTTATAATAAATGCAAAATGTTTTTTTTAATTACTTGAAAAAAATATTTATTGATTTTATTTATTAATTATTATTTTACTAAAAAAAAAGAAATAATTGCAAAATTTTTTCCTTCTTAAAAAACAAATTAAAATATTGTAACAAAAATTGTAATTGACATATAGAGTTATTACAAATTTTTTTTCATTTCTTTTGAATAAAAAAATAAAGTTTTGTTAAAAATTGTTAAAGAAAAATATTTGCATAATTCCTATTTTATAATTACAATTTTTGTAGAAAATTTTCTTATTCTTTTTGGAAAAAAAGACTAATAACATAAAACCTTCAAAATTTATATTATTTTTTTGTAAAATTATAATAAAAATCTATAAGAAAGTAAATATTAAATACAAGTTTAATTTAAAACAATTCTTTAAAATTCTTTCTATAATAAAAGTATTTTTTGGTTAGTAACAGTATAATAATTTTTAATTTTAATCAATTTTAATGTAAAATTTTCAAAACAGGTTATTCTAATTTTTTTTTAGTAACAGTATTGCAGGCATTATTGTATAATGACAGTCTTAACCCTGAAGAATGCCGAGGAGCTATTACTGAATTAGGTGCAGTCAGAACCCGCAGCTCTGACGGGTGCACCAACAGCGCGCGCAACAACTATATTTTTATTACATTTCTCTTAAACTATTTTCTGTCCCACTCTAAAAATTACATGTCTCATTAAAAAAAACCTCAGCTTTGCAATGAAATTATTTTTTAAAAAAATAATAATACCCAAATCGGTCAAAAATAAAAATTAATTTTGAAAAAAGAGGAGATAAAATTTTTTTTTTTGAAAATTTTATTGCAAGCATCAGAAACTATACGAAAAATGCTTTAAAATTTGTTATTTATAAATTAAAATCCATAAAGTTTTATCCGACTTATAGAGATTTTATATGTCAATGTTCTCGAAAATGTAAAAATTCTTACCCCCCTACTTTTTACAATTTTTTTTCAAAAATTTTAATGTTTTAGGAATTTGTTAGAGGAAGAGGTTCGGTTGTGGGCATAGTTTCGTTTTTGGCTCATAATTTGTGTCCTTGAAAATATTAAGCAAACATATATGTATTTAAAGCTAGGGACCTTAGCTAACTAATGATGAAGAAACTACATTGATTCCATTGACTAGAAAAATTTTATTAAAAATTCAATAAAATGGGGATTTTTCTAACAAAGAAAATTTTGGTTCGGTTGTGGGCACTCTTGAAAAATCAAATAAAAATGCAAAAAAAATTAACTAAGTAACCATTCATTAACTACGTAAAGATGATTTTATCTAATTTTGACATTACTTCCTCCCCATGTAAGGACATATAAGATTTCTCACACTGAACCTCAACTGCACAGTTACTACTATTGCTAGCTACGAGCGACGTACGGACATCAAAGTCTCGTTATATTAATTTCCGTGCTAAACTACGAAACTTTTAAAATTTATAAAACACTATTAAATGTTGTAAGGAATTACTTATGATTATATCGACTACGATATTTCACGATTTGTCAAGAATAAGAGTGGTGTCCACAACCGAATCAATTTAGGTGCTCACAACCAAACTTTACCATCATTTCGAAACATCATGAAAAAAACTTTGCTTGTGAACATGGTTGTGATACTTGGTATTGGTGCACAAAATATATCATATTTACTGTGTAAATACGCATTGATCTTATCATTTTAATTAATTCACTTCGATTTGTTGCATATTTAACAATCTTTAAAAATACATTTTTCTTATATTCAACGTGTCGAAAAATTAATTTATATATAGTAAAAAGCACATTTGTCTAATCACTTTTGTATTCGCATCGATAACTACGTTTGGTCATAACACACACGTGACATTTGTAAGATTAGAAAAATCTTATTTCTGTCAAAAGTTCTGCCGAAGTGTCCACAACCGAACCTTTTCCCCTACTCTTATTATATAGGAGAACAAATTACCAAAGTACCAAATCAATCCTAGAACTTTTTTTTGGGGGTGGTCCACTTCAGAAATTTTGCCCCTATATTAAAACAAAATTTATGCTTATGCAGCTTCAGACCATATTTGTGTCGCAATGTTTGCAAGTG